GATCACATCAAGAATTCTCTGTCAATTAGGTAAACAATATTCTGCGACCTGCTCATGAACAGCTGTTCACATCATACCAGGTCATGAGTTATCTGATTGAAGGGGCGAGTATTGGGTGAAATGCTATATAGAAATATGATGGTTTCGCATAAAACATGAGGAGTAGGAGATAACGTCATTCGTGCTTCGGACTATCCACAACAGGTCATGTTAACGTTGTTACCCGTCGTCCAGCAACAGTTATTCCCCATTTCTCGCACCCTCTGCCCCTCCTGCCCGGATGCTTTCATATCAGTTGTTTGAGATCCAGTGAGTGGAAATATACGAATAAACTTCTGCGTTCTGAGGTTGAAAGACAGATAAGACATTTTCTTGCTAACGGTTCACTATGTGGCGTGAGCTGAAAAGCTGGGAAGCACTGGACAACTTTTTCGACCTGGTTGGGTCTCATCAGTAGTGCGAATCTATCGACCCAACTGGGGATCGAATCCGGGACCTCACAGTTGGAACGCAAGCATACTATCCACTCGGTCACCGGGTAGCTGCTCAGACCGTCTCGCATTTGGAGTATACACGATATAGCACAACCCATCTTTGCGAGCTTTTTGCGGGCAACGGACTTAGCTCACCTCAGCATACCCAATCCGATAGAAACAGCTGTCCAGTGCTTCCCAGCTTTTCGACTCCCTCCTCATTTACACGACAATTTCATCATTTAATCAAATCAAATCCTCCATTCCTCTTACATAAGGTTCACTATGTCTATAACGAGTGTGTCCCACACAATCCCAGTGCGGTTGGGAGTCACTACATTTGGTTCGTTTGGTCACAATCAGCCAGGTACGCGATAAAAACGGAGGTGAAATGCACAAGGATGTTTGTTGAAACAAACTGGATGCAAGTTTGGCTCAATTGACAAGGCGGGTAGAATTTCTGCTACCACTAGTAAATTTGACATTCAACCTAATCGCATCGTTACAAAGCTTTAAATTCAATAAAAGTAATACTATGTACCATGCACTATTGATGAGTTCTAATAAGATCGAAACTCAAGTCTAGTGCTTCCGAGTGCATGGTTTACTGGAAGTACTCCGGATTGTATGTGAATGTGATATCTGAAGGATGGTTATTTTAAATCAGTATCAACTATACCACACAAGTAACTGTGAGTTAAATGTGAAAAGTCATACTAATTGTTTGTGACCAGACTATTCGTGCAACATGAAAACTTCAAACTTTTGTTACTCTCCAATACCCCCTCCCTCCCGTTCCACTTTCCCACGTCGTCCTCGACAGTTCTATCTGTTTAATAGACAGCACACGGACGGAAGAGATTTGTGGTGTAACAAACACGAAAATTGAAGTGATAATCACTTGAGAACAAGTCGTGGTTCAGTTTTATTATACTGTTGTTGAATGATAAGCATTTCGTAAAAAAACGAACTTGGGTATACAGGTCAGTCATTGTATACGGTAGACGGGGGAAGAAAATGTCACTTGTGGTAGGGATGAAATGTGTCGTGTTTGTGTACAGTATGTGGAACAGGAATGTATGTTTGTATGCGTGCTTACTTGCTTGCTTGCACGCATGTACGCATTTCTATCGATGTCAATAAACTTGAAACGTAAAGCTTTCGGAAGATAGACTCAGGGAACCATTGCCAAGCACCGCGATGAATTCCATGCTTACAAAACTGGAGAGAAGAGAAGGAAAAAAGACACGAAGGAGGAAGGATGGATGGATTGATGGATGGATGGATGGATGGATGGATGGATGGATGGATGGATGGATGGATGGATGGATGGATGGAGAATGTAATGAGTGAAACAGAACTGGCAAACACGTGGGTAGGTGGGTGGTTAGTTGGACAAAGAGACTCCGAACTACTTTTTATTCCTGATTTCTATTTTCTTCCAGGTGCCGGATCAGCATCCAAAGAAGACACGTGATGGGGATAGGTGAATGATGGACAAAGATTAAAGATGTAAAGAATTCACAGAATAAACTAAGTTGAGTAAAAATGAGATAAATGCTCACGTGGTATTTAGCTGTCTCTCTCTCTCGATCTCTGACGGTCTTTCGTATTTTTATCTATCCCGCTGAATATGTCCTGGTCCATAATGATTCAATGAGGAAGGGGAAAACTGAGGTGGGGGGGGGAATGAACACTCACATTGGATCAGCACAGGATTTTTTGGGCTGAATAAAGAAAGACCATTATGCCAAAGTAAATGCCCAATTCTGTTTGCAGATTTTTTGTTGTCTCCTTATTTAAAAAAAAACGAGCAACGGAAGAGAGCATGTATGCTTTCCCATTGTTCGTATGTGTGTGTATACATTCGTAGGAAGCAGGGATAAGTAAAGGTTGAAAGAACGAAAGAATAAATGAGACGGTAAAAAGATACAGAATACATGTTCACAATTGCGTACACAACAGGTTTCGCTTTGAAAGCTACCATGAGATAGACGACAGTAAAACCGGCAAACATGTATGTTTCTTTTCAAAAAACAACGAGGGTGCATAGGTAATTGGACTGGGGCAATCTTGATACTTGATCAAGTTCGATCCCAAGATTGAATACGTGCACGTGTTCAACAAAAGGCGGGGCGGGGTAGGACAAAGCGGAGAGGGGGATTGGTCAAGGGAAGGCTGATCGATACATTTTGATCGATCGGTCGGTCGGTTTAGTTGTGCCCTGACAAAGTACAAGAATAGATGAACAAAAGGGGCGAGCATGGAAATGCTAACATTTGAGAATAAAAACAAAACAAAACAAAAACAGAAATAATAAAGAACACTGTACAGTGAGCAGCTAACAAACATGTACATATTTGTATATGTATGGATATTTGTCAGCGTTCGTATAATGCTTCCAACATTTCTTCACATATTTCAACCGTGTATTTATTGGGTTTCCAGCACTGACACATGACCTTCATCAAGCGCTTCGGGTTCGTCCGCTTCGGTCAATTCCATCCCAGTCACGGCCGAATCTTCTATACGCATTTCCTCCAATTCGATTAATTCTTCCGGATCCTCCTCGGTTGTTTCACGAAAATCGGTCGATTCGTTTGAGGATGGAGTTTGTTTGCCCGCGTGCAATCGATCCAAGTAGTCTAGACACTCGGATGAGGTCAGGTGTACGGTGATATTCATTTTCGGATCGTGGTTCGGATGTGTGACCTCAATATGTCGAACCAGGTGATCTTTTCGATAGTATTCTTTTTTACACAAATTACATGTGAACGGTTTGAATCCCACGTGTTTTAACGAGTGCCGTTGCAAATTGGATCGTTGAGTGAAATGAGCCGAACAGATGGTACATTTGAACGAGTTGTGTGCTTCTAGAGTGTGTCGATTCAGTTCGGCAAGTGAGGCGAAATTGTTACGGCACTGGTTACATATAAACCGTCGTGTATTGGTTAGTCGACGACCAAACATGAACTGGTTATTGGTATAGTTACCGTTTGAGGTAGGTTGTGTTGTTGACTGGCCACTGGTTCCTCGACTGGTTTTCAACTGATCTGTCGTACTCTCATTTGAGCTGGTGTGTATGAGTGTTGTTTTGGTGGTTGGGGTTACTGTGCTTGGTTTTGTTTCCTGTGATGGATTCTTTCCGCCGCCGCCGCCTCCACCACCACCACCACCGCCACCACTGCCAACACCGGTTCCTACGGTGTTGATCAGAAGCGTGTTTGAACGGGATTTGTTCGTCTCTGGTTCCTGGTTCGAACGGTTCGTCTGATTTGGGATCGGTGGATCCATGGGTTTCAACAGAATCTGTTTACCCAGTGCATCTATCACGCTGGGGCTTGTCCCCGCAAGCCCGGACAATTTGTTTTCGGTTGGTGTGGTCAATGAAGCAGTGAGTGTATCCAAACTGAATCGTTTGGAATCCGATCCGCTGGAATCAAGCACATTGGCGACGGATGTAGGAGCTTCCGGTGCGGATCCAGAGAAGAGTTGGGACAATGTGGATAATGTGGTTTTCAACGAGATTGGGTTGGTCTGAGGTACGTTTATCTGATTCAACAAACTAACCACTGGTTGCGGAAAAGATTTCGTTCCGGGTATCATACCGAGTGGGTTTTCCAGTCCATTGGATTTATCTTTGAAACTGAATATTGCTGTTGGGTTAAAATTGAATGAAGTTAGATTTGGTGTGGTTGTAGGCAGCAAGGCTTGTACAGCAGCCATACTGTCTGTATTGAACTGATGTAACAGTGGGAATCCAATCAGAGGTGTCGAAGAGATTGGTGAAGTTAGAGGAGCAGTGGTTATTAAATTTGCTCCAGATTGACCGTGAATAATCCCATTCATACCTCCCAGATTGAATGTTGAGTTGGATACAGTTGCGGAATGACTACTTGTTGTGATTGGTGTTGTGGTAACTGTACTAGATGCCATAACATCGTTCAGGTTTCTGAGTGGATTCGAATGGAGTGAGTTAGATTGTGGAATACCGTTTGGTGCACTCAATAATGCCTGTAATTCCTTGAGCAATAACATTTCTGCGGTTTCTGGAGGATTTGATTTGGTAATGTTTTCTGATGTTATACTTATCGGGGGTTTAGGGGGCATCGAGAATCGAGGGTCTTGTCTTTGTTGCTGTTGTTGTTGCTGCTGTCGCTGTTGTTGCTGTTGTTGCAACAAGGGGAGAAGTGTTAGAACTGCGGTGTCAAGAAAGGGTAAATTGGATGTATTGGACAAAACAGCGGGACCATTAGCTGTCGTCCCCAGGCCATCCGTGCTGGTAACAGTTCGTGTGGAATTGGGTGAGGGACACAGTTTAACGACGATATTTTGGCCACATGTGCTTGGTTGAGTATCGCTTAATAATGTGTTCTGCACAGCTTCCACACTTCGACTACCCTCATCAGAAGAATCGTCTTGTTCTCTATTCATAGCTTCATTCAGTTCCTGATCTTCCTTTTCCGTGTGTAATGACAAATCTAGCACATGTGTTTCCGTGGCACATGACAATCGTTCACACTTGAGACGTTTCACTTCCGTCTCGGATAAGTCAGGCCCCAATCCAGAATCATCGCGATCCAGAGAGAAATTACGTTCATCGGGGCCCCGTTTCCCGTTTGACTTGGGCACTTCAGATAATCCGTTCTGACGACACAGTGTCTCATCAATGACCAGACACTCTGTGTCCTTATCGTCAATGGTGTAGTTAACCAATAGACGTAATGACAGTGTCTCTTTGTGTGGGATCATATCGGTCAGTGCGGACAAGAGACGTTGTTTGATACTTTTCGGGTCATTTTGCAAACGGTTTTGGACAGTTCTGTAACCCGGGACGGAATTACCAGTGATCACTGTTGGCTGTGCTGATGCTGCTAGTGGTGGTGGTATTTTATTCGTCACAGACGAAACGACCGTTTGAACGTGTGTGTCCAAAACGTCTGTGGATTTTGTTAGCCCCTTTGTGCTCGCTGCTATTGTTGAGGTGGATGCGCTGGAGCGTGGAGTTGCTTGACGCGAACCGTTGTGGTTTTTGGTACTGTCGTTATTGCTCGTTGTATGGCTATCACTGAGGTTTGTAAAGCTCAAATCACTTTCCATAGTTTTGTCAGTTCCATTTTCAGGCGACGATATCGCCGAATTCGCATTCATCTTCACAGGTGGTTGTTGATTCGAATACCCATTACATTCAACACGAGTGCTATGATTGTCTCCTGCTATTGGCGAGACAGGACAGCTTCGAACGTGCAACTGATTGTCGTTCCCCGCTGATCGAGGTCGATCGAAGCCTTTCGGGTGGTGTATTTCTTCCAACATATCTCGGGCGGTAATTTTTGCGCTAGCGGTGTTGTTAGCTGTGGTAAGTGGTACCATGTTTATTGATGACGATGATTTCTTCGGTGTGGACGTGATTGGCCCCGGGTTGGGAAATAATTCTGGTAAACTCATCAACATATCCAAGCTATGTTCGTATCCTGTTACATCGAGAAGTGGATTGGAGGGGGCGGGAGGGAAATGAGAAATTGAGAAGGAAATCAGTATTAAGCATTTGCGATAGACGAACGGGCTAATGTGAAATTTTCTACTCACAACTCAACTGCTTGTGTATGTCTTTCTCAGAATTAAAACAATCGCCCCCGCCCCCCCGTCCAGAAGGATAAGATTCGAAGCAAATTACGTATAGAATAGATAATCAAGCTGGGCGCCGAAAGATCAAAGAAAATGGATAATCCGTAGCAGATCAACTGGAATCAGTATGCACAAGACCACACAGTAAAATATTAATTCGCAAGTAGTGTCCAAGCTTATAAAAGAGCACGGCTGAGACCGTCACATATAAAACACAGGGATCCTTGAGCGATCTCAAAAGCTTGAATATTCCCATGATATCATTGAGAAAACGAGTCGGTGAATGTTTGGCTGCGGAGAAAGTGGAATTCACAGCCGCTCTCAGTGATTAGCGCTCCAACTATCTTGGCCGGGTGTGAAAACTAAGACAGAACATGACGTGTTACTTGACCCAAGTGGGGAAAGGTCACATCAACTAACACTCTAAACATTGCAACACGCACACACCTCCATTGCTCTCTACCTCCGATTAATGACCTTACATATAAAACAAACTGTTGAGTGCGGAGAATTTGGATAACGGAATTCTATGGATAATCCCCGGGCCTATCTACCCCAACTCACCTAATAAAGCGTTTTGTTTTCTCTTTTATCCTTCCTTACTGGTTTTATGCATCCCCTGTTATTTTTCCGGGGCTTTTAATGAAAGACTTCAAACTCATACGTACATCCATCAAACATGTATGTCGATACAGTGGTAGATCTCGAGAGAATATTGTGCAGTTTATTATTTCACAGCACTTTAAGGCTTGCAAGAAACATTCCACCGGAATATTACTTGACCCATCTCACCCACTGTACTCTCAATTTAGTCAGTGTATCTCTACATCTAGCACCCGCTCCAAGTATAAGCTTATGACCGCACGCACTACAACATACAATTCTTCTGTAATACCGTACTTGGCTAGGTTTCTTACTAACGCCGATCTTTTCATTGGGACCCTTCAACAAAATCTTTGCTAAATTTCCCTTATTTGTTTGTAGCGTATGTAGCGTATCATCATTCTTTTTACCATGCAATTTCCACAGAATAGTGATTGTGTAGTAACTGAAAGTTCATTCCCTATTAAAGCCGCTTCTTGACTTTGACTTGACTTGGCCTATTGGGAATTGACAAACAACGAACGACTATAACTATGCAGATTTGATTGGGATCTAATCATGCAAATGATTTTTTCAGTTTTTATTGATAATTATCATGGAGCCAAGAGCACATGTTGATCCGTTTCGTTATCTGGATGAATCATGCTCATTATTTCCTACTTAGGAAATCTGAAGTTATAGTCTGACACAAATGAACCGCATAACAAGGCAGGAAACCCATGGAGCATATTACCGATCTATGGATGGTACCTTATCCGTTATTTTACAGTGATTTTCATCGTTCAGTCTCGTATTATTCTAAATTCACTTCAATTCCAGTTTATACAAATATTAACCATGCACTTTCGTGTGGCGGTTTGGGTTACTGTCTTTTGGCTACCTATTTGGTTAGAGCAGTAGAAGGAAGATTGGAATGCTGAAAACAGTTTTAGGGTGAAAACAGAGAAGTCTGGTAGACGAAGGTTGCAAATTGATAGCAAAGATACTGTTTACGATACTCAGTCATATTACTGTAAGTATCTAACCATCGGTTACACTGAGCCCGAGGTCCCCCCCCTCCCATCCAGGAAAATTAACACCAAATTTGATTTAACTTGGTGATTATCTGTGTCCAATCATAAAGCGCACTGGCTCCCACGGGACCTAGAGACGCGTTGCATGCGTTCGTGAAAAACTGATGTTCACATGTGCAATATATTCATATTCGTAACAATGGTGTTTTACCGTGATCCAACCAAAAACAGTTCTTCCACCACGTGCATTTTTTTTTAAACCCTAAAATCATATTTTACTTAGACGAAATAATCAATATCGAGGGCATTTTTTATCC